ATATTAGCCATTCTAATAGGTGTGCAGTGGAATCTCATTGTTATTTTAATTTGTAATTCTTTAATGATATCTGATATGGAGCATCTTTTCATATGCTTCTTTGCCATCTCTATATATCTTTTGAAAAATATATTTCTTTTGATTTCAGAGAGGAAGGGAAAGGGAGAGAGAGATGGAAACATCAATGATGAGAGAGAATCATTGGTTGGCCGCCTCCTACAGGCTCCGCACAGGGATTGAGCCTGCAATCCTGGCATGTACCCTAACTGGGAATCGAACTGTGACCTCCTGGTTTTTAGGTTAACACTCAACCACTGAGCCGTGCTGGCCAGGCCTATATATCTTCTTTGGAAAGGTGTCTATTCAAATCCTTTTCCCACTTATTAATGGGGTTGTTCATTTTCTTATTGTTGGGATTTAAGAGTTCTTTGTATATTTTTGTATTCAGGTTCTTTATCAGATATCTGTTTTGCAAATATTTTCTTTCAGACTGTGGCTTATCTTTTCATTCCCTTAACTGTGTCTTTTGCAGAACAAATGTTTTAAATTTTAATAACACACAACTTGATTTTTTTTTTCTTGGATCGTGCTTTTTGTGTTGTATCTAAAAACTCTTGCCATATCCAAGATCATCTAAGATTTTCTCCTAGGTGTTTTATAGTTTTGAGTCTATGATACATGTTGAGTTAATTAATTCTTTTTCCTGAAAAAAATTGTATAACAATAAGGAAAGTTGTATAACACCTTTACTGCTTTGGGGTGGAGCAGCCGCTTCCTCTTCACCATCACAGGTTTCTGGCTGTGCAGGATGGTGCTACCCGGTGGGTGGCCATCTTGCCAGATCCGCAGACCTGGGCAGTACATGTTTTTGCATCATGTACCACCTGATGTTTGTAGGCAAATTAGCTGTACACTGCATCGTATGGGAAATGGAAGCCGAAGGCCTGTTCGGACAGCTTTGCTGTCTGCAGTTATCAAGATAAAACAGCCTTTGAACGTGGGATATATTTGAACGTGAGTGGCCAGGTTATTATGACCACCTGATGTTTGTAGGCAAATTAGCCGTACACTGAATCATATGGGATATGGAAGCTGAAGGCCTGTTCGAACACCTTTGCTGTCTGCAGTTACCAAGATAAAACGTCTCCAATTCTCACAGGAACACAAGGATTGGACAGTCGAGCATTGGAAAAAAGTCATGTGATCTGACGAATCATGTTTCCAGTTGCATCATGCAGTGAGAATTTGGTGGAAACAGCAGGAAAGCATGCACCCCGCATGCATGAGTACAACCCTTCAAGCTGGTGGGGGCAGTGTTATGGTTTGGGGCATGTTTTCCTGGCATGATTTGGGCCCTTTAATTCGTGTGGAACAACGTCTGAATAGCACAACATACCTAAGTATCGTTGCTGATCAAGTTCATCCTATCGTGTTGATGGCGTATCCCAATGCAGATGGCCGCAGTATTGAAGGCAAAAGGTGGCCCAACGGATACCGATGGGGTAGTCATAATAATCTGGCCACTTATGTTCAAATATATCCTATGTTCAAAGGCTGTTAAATTGCGTTGTTTACCTGTATCTTCAGAAAAAAATCACTTCTACTGTCATGGTAAACAACCTGTTTCCCTATTTATAATGGTCTGACCCTCTAGCAACTTCAGCTCAAAATTATAGCTAATTTGCCTACAAACGTCAGGTGGTCATAATAATCGGGCCACTCAGTGTATATACATCATGGACACGGTCCTAAAAAATACTTTCTTGTTTTCTTTGTTGCATGAAAAGAGAGACAGCAAGCAAACAAGAGTGCTAGCTTTCTGTTTACATCGGAGCACAGCATTTCTCTTTCATAGTTTTTCTCAGTTACACTTTCACATCCATTTGTGGAGTTACTAGTTTATCTTTAGGCACTAATGTTTGTCTCTCCCATTAGACTAGAAGTTCCATAACTGTTTTTGCTCATTTTTCTCTAGCGCATGGTAGATGCTCAATAAGTGGACAGATGGATGGATATGGAAATGTATTTAAAACATATTTTTATTGATTTCAGAGAGTAAGGAAGAGAGAGAGAAAGATAGAAACATCAATGATGAGCCGAAACCGGTTTGGCTCAGTGGATAGAGCGTCGGCCTGCGGACTGGGAGGTCCCAGGTTCGATTCCGGTCAGGGGCATGTACCTTGGTTGCGGGCACATCCCCAGTGGGGAGTGTGCGGGGGGCAGCTGATCGATGTTTCTCTCTCATCGATGTTTCTAACTCTCTCTATCTCTCTCCCTTCCTCTCTGTGGAAAATCAATAAAATATATTTAAAAAAAAAAAGAAAGAAACATCAATGATGAGAGAGAATCATTGATTGGCTACCTCCTGCACACACCCCACACTGGGGAATGAGCTCACAACCCGGGCTTGTGCCCTGACCAGGAATTGAACCATGACCTCCTGGTTCATAGATTGACACTCTATGTGGATGTGTATATGGATGTGGATGTAGTTGAGTGCAATGGATGACTAAAAATGGTATTGACTAATGGTAATGACTAATCATGGTATTGCCGTTGTGTGAGTTTTTGGCTGAGTCTTTTAAGATCTTTCTAAAAACCAAAGATTGCCATAATTGGGTGATCATTAGAATCTCTTGGGCAACTTAAAAATATGTATATATAAGATATATATTCCTGCTTCTCGGTATTGTCCTGAATTCTGACCGTGGTTATTTTGAAAATGCCATTGCATTGCGTTTCTTTTAAAATATATTTTTATTGATTTCAGAGAGGAAGGTAGAGGGAGAGAGAAATAGAAACATCAATGGTGAGAGAGAATCATTAATTGGCTGTCTTCTGCATGTTCCACCCTGGGGACCGAGCCTGCAACCCAGGCACGTGCCCTTACTGGGAACAAATCGTAGCCTCCTGGTTCATAGGTCAATGCTCAATCACTGAGTCATGCTGGCTGGGCCACACTGCATTTCTGATGATGAACAAGGATTTAGTAATAATGGTCAACATATAGTGTCTTAGGAGTGTACACTCAATTCTCTTCTGTGTAGTGCTTTGTTCATATCTGTTATAGCACTTAACTCATTATATTGTAATAAATTGTGTTTGTTTTACATTACTTAAACTATAAGCTACTGTAGGGTAGAGTTAATTACCTAGTTTTCTTTGTTTATGGCTCAAGCAAAATCCAGGGCCACTCAGACTAGGGGTTTGTTCAACTAGAAGTCTAGATTGTTTATACCAGATTTAGAAATAGTATCTCATTTATTTATGTATGTGTTTTATTATTATTTTAAAATATATTTTTATTAATTTCAGAGATGAAGGGAGAGAGAGATATAAACATCAATGATGAGAGAGAAATATTGGTTGGATGCCTCCTGAATGCCCCTCCTGGGGATTGAGCCCACAACCCGGGCAAGTGTCCTTGACTGGACTCGAACCTGGGACTCTTCAGGCCAAGCCTCTATCTACTGAGCCAAACCAGCTAGAGCAAGAAATAGTATCTCATTTATAAATAACTCAGACAATGCAAGTGTCTATCAGTAGACAAATGGGTTAAAAACCTGTAGTACTGGTACATATATACAATGGAATATGACTCGGCCGTAAAAAAGAATGCAATGTTACTATTTATGACAGCATGGGTGGACCTTGAGGGTATTAAGCTAAGTGAAATAAGTCAGTCAGAGAATGACAAATACCATATGATTTCACTTACATGTACAATCTAAAGAGCAAAATAAATGATTAAACAAAACAGAAACAGACCCATAGATGTGGAGAACAGATTGCTGGTTGCCAGAGGGGAGAGGGGTTGGGGGTTGGGTGAAAAAAGTGAAAGGAGTAAGTATTACTAATTGGTGGTTACAAAATAATCATGGGATGTAAAGTATAGCATAGGAAATATAATCAATAATATTGTAATAACTATTTTGGTGCCAGGTGGGTGTTTGAAATATCGGGAAGATTGTGTAAAGCAGTGGTTATCAACCTTCCTAATGCCGTGACCCTTTAATACAGTTAGACAGACTATTTATATATAACTCTCTAACCACTATACTGTACACCTGAAATGAATACAAAATAGTGTTGACTAGCCCTAACCGGTTTGGCTCAGTGGATAGAGCATCAGCCTGCAGACTGGGAGGTCCCAGGTTCAATTCCTGTCGAGGGCATGTACCTTGGTTGCGGGCAACATCCCCAGTAGGTGGTGTGCAGGAGGCAGCTGATTGATGTTTCTCTCTCATCAATGTTTCTAACTCTCTATCCCTCTGCCTTCCTCTCTGTAAAAAAATCAATAAAATATATTTAAAAAAAATAGTGTTGACTATAAACTGTAGTTGAAAAATAAAATGTAAAAAAGGAAATAGTATCTCATTCTAAATAATGACAAAGCCTATCATTGAGGGGATATTTTGGATCTATCAAATATTTATGACCATTGTATTAGCAATAAATAAAGAGGATGGCTTTGTGACAAGATTAAGGAGATAAGTTGCAAACAGAGACTACTTTTTATTTGCTCTGGTTCTCACAGAAACCATTCAATTAGGTTTGAGAATAATATTGATACATGAACTAGGGATGAACAAGAACAAGGTAACAGTTCTTTTTCTTGCATCTTTATCTACCAAGTTGTAATCATGAAGGATTGATGAACTTTTCCTCTTCTATTATTAAGGAAGAAAAACAGAAAAAGAAAATGGCTGCAAAGTTGAAATTAGCAAGATTTCTTCAAGAAACAATGACGGAAATGGCAAAGAGGAAGAGGACCAGGTTGGGAGAGGCCTCTACACAGTTCTCATCCTATGTCGAACAGGTGTCAGTCTTTGATATAATACCAAACAGCTTCTGGGCTGGGAATCTTATGAAATATGCATGTTATCGTGGATCTTCCAAATTGTTTACAATTTTTGAATTTGCAAATCTAAGTTATATAGATATGATATTCCAAATGGTTATAGTTTTGTGGGGTTTTTTGTTTTTTGGTTTTTTTTGCAGAAATGTTTATCTTAAAGCAGCCAATGTGCTGAAGACAATGATAACTTCTTGGAAAGAACAGAATTAGGCAAATGTTTGAACTATTCCTGATTTTTCAGTTGATTTAGGCCGACTTCAGATTTCTTTACTCCTCTTTGTACCCACTTCTAGACCTAAGACAGAATCCATAAATGCTTTGATCTGTCTTTCAAATAGTCTATTGGGAACGTTAAATTAAGTAGGAAGCACATTTTAATTGTTTAATTGAGCCCGTTTGTCCCGCTGCCTAGGTCCAAATAGGCCACAAGCCCAGCACAAAGGAGATAGTTCGCTTTTCCAAACTGTTTGAAGATGAGCTCACCCTGAACCACTTGGATCGCGCACAGCTGGTCGCCCTTTGCAAACTGCTGGAACTGCCGTATTTTGGAACCAACAATTTGCTCCGCTTTCAGCTTCGGATGAAACTGAAGTCTATAAAAGCAGATGATGAAGTAAGAGCTTAACTCTGTCTCCAGGGAATTCGCAAGGCTTCAGGAGATATCTTAGAGTGGCCTTGTGATAAAGTGTAGTATCTTCTGTTAGGTCTGCTCATGGACTGGTTCTAGGAAAAGGAGTGATTTTAACCACTATTACCATGACAGCCTGAACCTTGATTTCTCATTTTAGGAGTTACTGAACACTGACCCATTTTTTTGAGAATGCCATTATAAGCAATTAGTAATTTGGAAGTCTTAGCTGGGACTAATCTGAAGGAAGTTAGGACCCATTGGGAAAGAGCGGCAGCCCCGTAGGTTCCTGACTCTTCCGCCAAGGACAGGACTCCACCCCCACACCTCTGCTCCCTTCCCGCAGAGCTGGTGCCAAAGTAAATGTTCTGCTGGGTGAGCTGGCTTGGTAAGAAGGGGTGGCAAGACAGGGAGGGAAAGCAGCGCCTAGACATCTGCGAAAGAAAGGCACAATTTGGACTATAACTACTAATTAGACTCCTTTAAAAAATGGAAAGAATCTTCCTTGAATCTGTATCAGCTGCTTTAAAGCATTCTGTCTGGTTTGGCTCAGTGGATAGAGCATCGAGTTTGGGTTCGATTCTGGTCAAGAGCACATGCCTGGGTTAGGGGCTAGATCCCCAGCAGGGAGCGTGCAGGAGGCAGCCAATCAGTGATTCTCATAATTGATGTTTCTATCTCCTTCTCTCTCTCCCTTCCTCTCTGAAATCAATAAAAAAATGTTAAAAAAAAAAAAGGCATTCTGCCTGCGGGCAGAACTGAGACTCATGATCCCACCGGCCCCATTTAGATTTCAGTTGTTGTTTTCAGAACTTTGGAATAAACAATACTGGTCCCAGGAGTATCATGGTTTTGTGTCACACCACGCAGAAACTGTGTTATTTACTGAGGGAGTTTTGTGGACCAGAGAGTTAAGGCCATACCTGGGGTGTTGGTGGGGGACAATGGGGGAAAGAATACCACCGGAACAGACAACAGATGGTACAAAGCTTTTCAAGTGAAATATTTTCTAAATGAAACCGAAAGCTGCCATGACAGGAAGGAGCAGGGCCGTCACAAGGAGGTAAATGCAAATCAAGAGGGAAAATAATTACTTTGGTGACAGAGTGTTGAGGAGAAGTTATGTAAATATCTCTGATGTTATTAACTAGAGGCATGAATTCCTGCGTGGGTGGGGTCTGGCCAGCCCTGCCCCTGATCAGGGTGGGGGGTGGGACTGGCTGCGGGGAGGGGCTGCAGGAGGTTGGCCGGCCGGCCCTGCCTCCTGGTCGAGGGGACAATTTGCATATTAGGCTTTTATTATATAAGATACCTTTTGGCAGGATGCCCTTCATCTCAACTGCCACACCTTCCTAAGTCACCTTGTTTTTATAGGTGGCCGACCTTTGCAGCAGTCAGTATGGGCACTAAGTATTGGAGGCATCAGATCCTGTTTCCCCTGACTAGGTGGAGTTAGGTGAAATTGGAACCAAAGACCCAACACCATTCCTTACATTTCTTCCAGGTAATTGCCGAAGAAGGGGTGAGTGCTTTGAGTGTGCCAGAACTACAGTCTGCATGTAGGGCCCGAGGGATGAGATCTCTGGGTCTCACTGAGGAGCAACTGGTACAACAGCTCACAGAGGCAAGTAGC